ATGTAGGAAAGGACTGGTGTTACTTGAGATAGGACATTCTGGGACACACTTCAAATGGCCGGTTTTGAGGTCATACGATGAGAATGAATGGGCATTGGCATCGTAATGGTTTCAAAATCAACCACCGCTGGAATCCGCTGTCGGGATAATTTACATCGGCATTAGCTGAACCTCCAAGTAAACAATTAACATCTATATTTCATTTGTCCTTGACAAAAATATTTTAGTATAAGGATAAAACCCTGGACTTGTGTGTCATTAGAGAGACGCTTAACAACCAGTCATTGAAAAATATGCAACATTTTATTATGAAATAAATGATTGCGTCTTTAGTCTGTTCTAAGACCTAGATCTGCATGTGTCTAAAATGTTGGTTCTAGAATCTATTTTATTTCTTTTCTCTTCTGAAACATAGTGTCAAATCTGAGTTAGGGATTTTGCAGATTTTCACCTTATGGCCTCATGACCAATCTACCCGCTGTCTCGCGCCCCAGCCCCATCCCACCCCCGAGGTGCTGTCGGTGATAACGTTTAGGAGCTTAACGTGTAGGACAAAAGATTGGTTGCCACCTAAAGCTAACGAGTTCTTACTGCCCGATGGAGAAGGAAAACTCAGAATTTAAACCTCTGCTGCCTCCAGATAAAAATATGATTTTTAGATCAAGGCATATATGATATGAGATACAGTCGCTTTTTTGTCGGCGCTATTTTAAAGACACGATTTTGTCAGCGCTACTTTGTCTTACAAAAGTTTGTCGAAATCTACCACCGCAAGAAAAAAAAATTCGAATAGATGGTTTTGAGGTAATACGATGAGAATGAGTGGGCATTGGCATCGTTCTGGTTTCAAAATCAACCACCGCAAGAAAAGAAACAAACTGTTGTAACTCTGCTCCCGAGCCACATTGATGGTGCGCATGAGAGTACCATTGAACACAAGTAAGAGAAGACATGTTTAGACGGGAAGAAGGACTGGTGTAGATCCAGCTGCAGTGATATGAAAGTTATGGAGGTCTAGGCTGTCTTGACTTGAGAGAACGTCCAGTGTGCTATCTATGAACTGTGTTGAGTACCTGGGGCTGCAATGGGAAGTGTGTCGGTGGCCTGTTTTGGTATTAATGTAGGAAAGTACTGGTGTTACTTGAGATAAGACATTCTGGGACACACTTCAAATGGCCGGTTTTGAGGTCATACGATGAGAATGAATGGGCATTGGCATCGTAATGGTTTCAAAATCAACCACCGCTGGAATCCGCTGTCGGGATAATTTACATCGGCATTAGCTGAACCTCCAAGTAAACAATTAACATCTATATTTCATTTGTCCTTGACAAAAATATTTTAGTATAAGGATAAAACCCTGGACTTGTGTGTCATTAGAGAGACGCTTAACAACCAGTCATTGAAAAATATGCAACATTTTATTATGAAATAAATGATTGCGTCTTTAGTCTGTTCTAAGACCTAGATCTGCATGTGTCTAAAATGTTAGTTTTAGAATCTATTTTATTTCTTTTCTCTTCTGAAACATAGTGTCAAATCTGAGTTAGGGATTTTGCAGATTTTCACCTTATGGCCTCATGACCAATCTACCCGCTGTCTCGCGCCCCAGCCCCATCCCACTCCCGAGGTGCTGTCGGTGATAACGTTTAGGAGCTTAACGTGTAGGACAAAAGATTGGTTGCCACCTAAAGCTAACGAGTTCTTACTGCCCGATGGAGAAGGAAAACTCAGAATTTAAACCTCTGCTGCCTCCAGATAAAAATATGATTTTTAGATCAAGGCATATTTGATATGAGATACAGTCGCTTTTTTGTCGGCGCTATTTTAAAGACACGATTTTGTCAGCGCTACTTTGTCTTACAAAAGTTTGTCGAAATCTACCACCGCAAGAAAAAAAAATTCGAATAGATGGTTTTGAGGTAATACGATGAGAATGAGTGGGCATTGGCATCGTTCTGGTTTCAAAATCAACCACCGCAAGAAAAGAAACAAACTGTTGTAACTCTGCTCCCGAGCCACATTGATGGTGGGCATGAGAGTACCATTGAACACAAGTAAGAGAAGACATGTTTAGACGGGAAGAAGGACTGGTGTAGATCCAGCTGCAGTGATATGAAAGTTATGGAGGTCTAGGCTGTCTTGACTTGAGAGAACGTCCAGTGTGCTATCTATGAACTGTGTTGAGTACCTGGGGCTGCAATGGGAAGTGTGTCGGTGGCCTGTATTGGTATTAATGTAGGAAAGGACTGGTGTTACTTGAGATAGGACATTCTGGGACACACTTCAAATGGCCGGTTTTGAGGTCATACGAAGAGAATGAATGGGCATTGGCATCGTAATGGTTTCAAAATCAACCACCGCTGGAATCCGCTGTCGGGATAATTTACATCGGCATTAGCTGAACCTCCAAGTAAACAATTAACATCTATATTTCATTTGTCCTTGACAAAAATATTTTAGTATAAGGATAAAACCCTGGACTTGTGTGTCATTAGAGAGACGCTTAACAACCAGTCATTGAAAAATATGCAACATTTTTTTACGAAATAAAAGATTGCGTCTTTAGTCTGTTCTAAGACCTAGATCTGCATGTGTCTAAAATGTTGGTTCTAGAATCTATTTTATTTCTTTTCTCTTCTGAAACATAGTGTCAAATCTGAGTTAGGGATTTTGCAGATTTTCACCTTATGGCCTCATGACCAATCTACCCGCTGTCTCGCGCCCCAGCCCCATCCCACCCCCGAGGTGCTGTCGGTGATAACGTTTAGGAGCTTAACGTGTAGGACAAAAGATTGGTTGCCACCTAAAGCTAACGAGTTCTTACTGCCCGATGGAGAAGGAAAACTCAGAATTTAAACCTCTGCTGCCTCCAGATAAAAATATGATTTTTAGATCAAGGCATATTTGATATGAGATACAGTCGCTTTTTTGTCGGCGCTATTTTAAAGACACGATTTTGTCAGCGCTACTTTGTCTTACAAAAGTTTGTCGAAATCTACCACCGCAAGAAAAAAAAATTCGAATAGATGGTTTTGAGGTAATACGATGAGAATGAGTGGGCATTGGCATCGTTCTGGTTTCAAAATCAACCACCGCAAGAAAAGAAACAAACTGTTGTAACTCTGCTCCCGAGCCACATTGATGGTGCGCATGAGAGTACCATTGAACACAAGTAAGAGAAGACATGTTTAGACGGGAAGAAGGACTGGTGTAGATCCAGCTGCAGTGATATAAAAGTTATGGAGGTCTAGGATGTCTTGACTTGAGAGAACGTCCAGTGTGCTATCTATGAACTGTGTTGAGTACCTGGGGCTGCAATGGGAAGTGTGTCGGTGGCCTGTATTGGTATTAATGTAGGAAAGGACTGGTGTTACTTGAGATAGGACATTCTGGGACACACTTCAAATGGCCGGTTTTGAGGTCATACGATGAGAATGAATGGGCATTGGCATCGTAATGGTTTCAAAATCAACCACCGCTGGAATCCGCTGTCGGGATAATTTACATCGGCATTAGCTGAACCTCCAAGTAAACAATTAACATCTATATTTCATTTGTCCTTGACAAAAATATTTTAGTATAAGGATAAAACCCTGGACTTGTGTGTCATTAGAGAGACGCTTAACAACCAGTCATTGAAAAATATGCAACATTTTTTTACGAAATAAAAGATTGCGTCTTTAGTCTGTTCTAAGACCTAGATCTGCATGTGTCTAAAATGTTGGTTCTAGAATCTATTTTATTTCTTTTCTCTTCTGAAACATAGTGTCAAATCTGAGTTAGGGATTTTGCAGATTTTCACCTTATGGCCTCATGACCAATCTACCCGCTGTCTCGCGCCCCAGCCCCATCCCACCCCCGAGGTGCTGTCGGTGATAACGTTTAGGAGCTTAACGTGTAGGACAAAAGATTGGTTGCCACCTAAAGCTAACGAGTTCTTACTGCCCGATGGAGAAGGAAAACTCAGAATTTAAACCTCTGCTGCCTCCAGATAAAAATATGATTTTTAGATCAAGGCATATTTGATATGAGATACAGTCGCTTTTTTGTCGGCGCTATTTTAAAGACACGATTTTGTCAGCGCTACTTTGTCTTACAAAAGTTTGTCGAAATCTACCACCGCAAGAAAAAAAAATTCGAATAGATGGTTTTGAGGTAATACGATGAGAATGAGTGGGCATTGGCATCGTTCTGGTTTCAAAATCAACCACCGCAAGAAAAGAAACAAACTGTTGTAACTCTGCTCCCGAGCCACATTGATGGTGCGCATGAGAGTACCATTGAACACAAGTAAGAGAAGACATGTTTAGACGGGAAGAAGGACTGGTGTAGATCCAGCTGCAGTGATATAAAAGTTATGGAGGTCTAGGATGTCTTGACTTGAGAGAACGTCCAGTGTGCTATCTATGAACTGTGTTGAGTACCTGGGGCTGCAATGGGAAGTGTGTCGGTGGCCTGTATTGGTATTAATGTAGGAAAGGACTGGTGTTACTTGAGATAGGACATTCTGGGACACACTTCAAATGGCCGGTTTTGAGGTCATACGATGAGAATGAATGGGCATTGGCATCGTAATGGTTTCAAAATCAACCACCGCTGGAATCCGCTGTCGGGATAATTTACATCGGCATTAGCTGAACCTCCAAGTAAACAATTAACATCTATATTTCATTTGTCCTTGACAAAACTATTTTAGTATAAGGATAAAACCCTGGACTTGTGTGTCATTAGAGAGACGCTTAACAACCAGTCATTGAAAAATATGCAACATTTTATTATGAAATAAATGATTGCGTCTTTAGTCTGTTCTAAGACCTAGATCTGCATGTGTCTAAAATGTTGGTTCTAGAATCTATTTTATTTCTTTTCTCTTCTGAAACATAGTGTCAAATCTGAGTTAGGGATTTTGCAGATTTTCACCTTATGGCCTCATGACCAATCTACCCGCTGTCTCGCGCCCCAGCCCCATCCCACCCCCGAGGTGCTGTCGGTGATAACGTTTAGGAGCTTAACGTGTAGGACAAAAGATTGGTTGCCACCTAAAGCTACCGAGTTCTTACTGCCCGATGGAGAAGGAAAACTCAGAATTTAAACCTCTGCTGCCTCCAGATAAAAATATGATTTTTAGATCAAGGCATATTTGATATGAGATACAGTCGCTTTTTTGTCGGCGCTATTTTAAAGACACGATTTTGTCAGCTCTACTTTGTCTTACAAAAGTTTGTCGAAATCTACCACCGCAAGAAAAAAAAATTCGAATAGATGGTTTTGAGGTAATACGATGAGAATGAGTGGGCATTGGCATCGTTCTGGTTTCAAAATCAACCACCGCAAGAAAAGAAACAAACTGTTGTAACTCTGCTCCCGAGCCACATTGATGGTGCGCATGAGAGTACCATTGAACACAAGTAAGAGAAGACATGTTTAGACGGGAAGAAGGACTGGTGTAGATCCAGCTGCAGTGATATAAAAGTTATGGAGGTTTAGGCTGTCTTGACTTGAGAGAACGTCCTGTGTGCTATCTATGAACTGTGTTGAGTACCTGGGGCTGCAATGGGAAGTGTGTCGGTGGCCTGTATTGGTATTAATGTAGGAAAGGACTGGTGTTACTTGAGATAGGACATTCTGGGACACACTTCAAATGGCCGGTTTTGAGGTCATACGATGAGAATGAATGGGCATTGGCATCGTAATGGTTTCAAAATCAACCACCGCTGGAATCCGCTGTCGGGATAATTTACATCGGCATTAGCTGAACCTCCAAGTAAACAATTAACATCTATATTTCATTTGTCCTTGACAAAAATATTTTAGTATAAGGATAAAACCCTGGACTTGTGTGTCATTAGAGAGACGCTTAACAACCAGTCATTGAAAAATATGCAACATTTTATTATGAAATAAATGATTGCGTCTTTAGTCTGTTCTAAGACCTAGATCTGCATGTGTCTAAAATGTTGGTTCTAGAATCTATTTTATTTCTTTTCTCTTCTGAAACATAGTGTCAAATCTGAGTTAGGGATTTTGCAGATTTTCACCTTATGGCCTCATGACCAATCTACCCGCTGTCTCGCGCCCCAGCCCCATCCCACCCCCGAGGTGCTGTCGGTGATAACGTTTAGGAGCTTAACGTGTAGGACAAAAGATTGGTTGCCACCTAAAGCTACCGAGTTCTTACTGCCCGATGGAGAAGGAAAACTCAGAATTTAAACCTCTGCTGCCTCCAGATAAAAATATGATTTTTAGATCAAGGCATATTTGATATGAGATACAGTCGCTTTTTTGTCGGCGCTATTTTAAAGACACGATTTTGTCAGCTCTACTTTGTCTTACAAAAGTTTGTCGAAATCTACCACCGCAAGAAAAAAAAATTCGAATAGATGGTTTTGAGGTAATACGATGAGAATGAGTGGGCATTGGCATCGTTCTGGTTTCAAAATCAACCACCGCAAGAAAAGAAACAAACTGTTGTAACTCTGCTCCCGAGCCACATTGATGGTGCGCATGAGAGTACCATTGAACACAAGTAAGAGAAGACATGTTTAGACGGGAAGAAGGACTGGTGTAGATCCAGCTGCAGTGATATAAAAGTTATGGAGGTTTAGGCTGTCTTGACTTGAGAGAACGTCCTGTGTGCTATCTATGAACTGTGTTGAGTACCTGGGGCTGCAATGGGAAGTGTGTCGGTGGCCTGTATTGGTATTAATGTAGGAAAGGACTGGTGTTACTTGAGATAGGACATTCTGGGACACACTTCAAATGGCCGGTTTTGAGGTCATACGATGAGAATGAATGGGCATTGGCATCGTAATGGTTTCAAAATCAACCACCGCTGGAATCCGCTGTCGGGATAATTTACATCGGCATTAGCTGAACCTCCAAGTAAACAATTAACATCTATATTTCATTTGTCCTTGACAAAAATATTTTAGTATAAGGATAAAACCCTGGACTTGTGTGTCATTAGAGAGACGCTTAACAACCAGTCATTGAAAAATATGCAACATTTTATTATGAAATAAATGATTGCGTCTTTAGTCTGTTCTAAGACCTAGATCTGCATGTGTCTAAAATGTTGGTTCTAGAATCTATTTTATTTCTTTTCTCTTCTGAAACATAGTGTCAAATCTGAGTTAGGGATTTTGCAGATTTTCACCTTATGGCCTCATGACCAATCTACCCGCTGTCTCGCGCCCCAGCCCCATCCCACCCCCGAGGTGCTGTCGGTGATAACGTTTAGGAGCTTAACGTGTAGGACAAAAGATTGGTTGCCACCTAAAGCTACCGAGTTCTTACTGCCCGATGGAGAAGGAAAACTCAGAATTTAAACCTCTGCTGCCTCCAGATAAAAATATGATTTTTAGATCAAGGCATATTTGATATGAGATACAGTCGCTTTTTTGTCGGCGCTATTTTAAAGACACGATTTTGTCAGCTCTACTTTGTCTTACAAAAGTTTGTCGAAATCTACCACCGCAAGAAAAAAAAATTCGAATAGATGGTTTTGAGGTAATACGATGAGAATGAGTGGGCATTGGCATCGTTCTGGTTTCAAAATCAACCACCGCAAGAAAAGAAACAAACTGTTGTAACTCTGCTCCCGAGCCACATTGATGGTGCGCATGAAGGTACCATTGAACACAAGTAAGAGAAGACATGTTTAGACGGGAAGAAGGACTGGTGTAGATCCAGCTGCAGTGATATGAAAGTTATGGAGGTCTAGGCTGTCTTGACTTGAGAGAACGTCCAGTGTGCTATCTATGAACTGTGTTGAGTACCTGGGGCTGCAATGGGAAGTGTGTCGGTGGCCTGTATTGGTATTAATGTAGGAAAGGACTGGTGTTACTTGAGATAGGACATTCTGGGACACACTTCAAATGGCCGGTTTTGAGGTCATACGATGAGAATGAATGGGCATTGGCATCGTAATGGTTTCAAAATCAACCACCGCTGGAATCCGCTGTCGGGATAATTTACATCGGCATTAGCTGAACCTCCAAGTAAACAATTAACATCTATATTTCATTTGTCCTTGACAAAAATATTTTAGTATAAGGATAAAACCCTGGACTTGTGTGTCATTAGAGAGACGCTTAACTACCAGTCATTGAAAAATATGCAACATTTTATTATGAAATAAATGATTGCGTCTTTAGTCTGTTCTAAGACCTAGATCTGCATGTGTCTAAAATGTTGGTTCTAGAATCTATTTTATTTCTTTTCTCTTCTGAAACATAGTGTCAAATCTGAGTTAGGGATTTTGCAGATTTTCACCTTATGGCCTCATGACCAATCTACCCGCTGTCTCGCGCCCCAGCCCCATCCCACCCCCGAGGTGCTGTCGGTGATAACGTTTAGGAGCTTAACGTGTAGGACAAAAGATTGGTTGCCACCTAAAGCTAACGAGTTCTTACTGCCCGATGGAGAAGGAAAACTCAGAATTTAAACCTCTGCTGCCTCCAGATAAAAATATGATTTTTAGATCAAGGCATATTTGATATGAGATACAGTCGCTTTTTTGTCGGCGCTATTTTAAAGACACGATTTTGTCAGCGCTACTTTGTCTTACAAAAGTTTGTCGAAATCTACCACCGCAAGAAAAAAAAATTCCAATAGATGGTTTTGAGGTAATACGATGAGAATGAGTGGGCATTGGCATCGTTCTGATTTCAAAATCAACCACCGCAAGAAAAGAAACAAACTGTTGTAACTCTGCTCCCGAGCCACATTGATGGTGGGCATGAGAGTACCATTGAACACAAGTAAGAGAAGACATGTTTAGACGGGAAGAAGGACTGGTGTAGATCCAGCTGCAGTGATATGAAAGTTATGGAGGTCTAGGCTGTCTTGACTTGAGAGAACGTCCAGTGTGCTATCTATGAACTGTGTTGAGTACCTGGGGCTGCAATGGGAAGTGTGTCGGTGGCCTGTATTGGTATTAATGTAGGAAAGGACTGGTGTTACTTGAGATAGGACATTCTGGGACACACTTCAAATGGCCGGTTTTGAGGTCATACGATGAGAATGAATGGGCATTGGCATCGTAATGGTTTCAAAATCAACCACCGCTGGAATCCGCTGTCGGGATAATTTACATCGGCATTAGCTGAACCTCCAAGTAAACAATTAACATCTATATTTCATTTGTCCTTGACAAAAATATTTTAGTATAAGGATAAAACCCTGGACTTGTGTGTCATTAGAGAGACGCTTAACAACCAGTCATTGAAAAATATGCAACATTTTATTATGAAATAAATGATTGCGTCTTTAGTCTGTTCTAAGACCTAGATCTGCATGTGTCTAAAATGTTGGTTCTAGAATCTATTTTATTTCTTTTCTCTTCTGAAACATAGTGTCAAATCTGAGTTAGGGATTTTGCAGATTTTCACCTTATGGCCTCATGACCAATCTACCCGCTGTCTCGCGCCCCAGCCCCATCCCACCCCCGAGGTGCTGTCGGTGATAACGTTTAGGAGCTTAACGTGTAGGACAAAAGATTGGTTGCCACCTAAAGCTAACGAGTTCTTACTGCCCGATGGAGAAGGAAAACTCAGAATTTAAACCTCTGCTGCCTCCAGATAAAAATATGATTTTTAGATCAAGGCATATTTGATATGAGATACAGTCGCTTTTTTGTCGGCGCTATTTTAAAGACACGATTTTGTCAGCTCTACTTTGTCTTACAAAAGTTTGTCGAAATCTACCACCGCGAGAAAAAAAAATTCGAATAGATGGTTTTGAGGTAATACGATGAGAATGAGTGGGCATTGGCATCGTTCTGGTTTCAAAATTAACCACCGCAAGAAAAGAAACAAACTGTTGTAACTCTGCTCCCGAGCCACATTGATGGTGCGCATGAGAGTACCATTGAACACAAGTAAGAGAAGACATGTTTAGACGGGAAGAAGGACTGGTGTAGATCCAGCTGCAGTGATATAAAAGTTATGGAGGTCTAGGCTGTCTTGACTTGAGAGAACGTCCAGTGTGCTATCTATGAACTGTGTTGAGTACCTGGGGCTGCAATGGGAAGTGTGTCGGTGGCCTGTATTGGTATTAATGTAGGAAAGGACTGGTGTTACTTGAGATAGGACATTCTGGGACACACTTCAAATGGCCGGTTTTGAGGTCATACGATGAGAATGAATGGGCATTGGCATCGTAATGGTTTCAAAATCAACCACCGCTGGAATCCGCTGTCGGGATAATTTACATCGGCATTAGCTGAACCTCCAAGTAAACAATTAACATCTATATTTCATTTGTCCTTGACAAAAATATTTTAGTATAAGGATAAAACCCTGGACTTGTGTGTCATTAGAGAGACGCTTAACAACCAGTCATTGAAAAATATGCAACATTTTATTATGAAATAAATGATTGTGTCTTTAGTCTGTTCTAAGACCTAGATCTGCATGTGTCTAAAATGTTGGTTCTAGAATCTATTTTATTTCTTTTCTCTTCTGAAACATAGTGTCAAATCTGAGTTAGGGATTTTGCAGATTTTCACCTTATGGCCTCATGACCAATCTACCCGCTGTCTCGCGCCCCAGCCCCATCCCACCCCCGAGGTGCTGTCGGTGATAACGTTTAGGAGCTTAACGTGTAGGACAAAAGATTGGTTGCCACCTAAAGCTAACGAGTTCTTACTGCCCGATGGAGAAGGAAAACTCAGAATTTAAACCTCTGCTGCCTCCAGATAAAAATATGATTTTTAGATCAAGGCATATTTGATATGAGATACAGTCGCTTTTTTGTCGGCGCTATTTTAAAGACACGATTTTGTCAGCTCTACTTTGTCTTACAAAAGTTTGTCGAAATCTACCACCGCAAGAAAAAAAAATTCGAATAGATGGTTTTGAGGTAATACGATGAGAATGAGTGGGCATTGGCATCGTTCTGGTTT